CATTTCTTAAAGCTGACATCTGTAATAAAAGAGAAGTATGTCAAAGGCTCTGTCTGTTCCTAGAGCTGTAATGGACACTCCATTCTTTATAAACTTAGCTCCTTACAGACAAAATTATTTGACTGATGCTTCTTTTATTATTGGAGCATTTTCAGTTTTAGGTTTACTCAAATGATAAGCCTCACTAATGTTCACTTTTCTAAAGTAAAAACTCCGGAGTCAGACTGTGGAGCCCCATAGCAGAAGAGAAATTGTTTTCTTTTTCTTTTCTTGTTCCTTTGACTCCACTCGATACTCAAATAGGAAAAAGAAGAGAATCATACCCCAATTTATAGACAGATGCCCTGCATTGACTGTACCTCATATCTAAACCAATGAACAGTTGTACTCACATAGGAAATTTACCTATCAGAAAATATTCACAGCCAAGAGAAAGTGGGTACTTGAAGAGCTGGTATAATTTAGATGGGATAAATTGTCCAGATAGTTGTGTAAATACTCCGCTTAGTTCTTTGAATTCAATACCGGTATCCTCTTCTGATGCTTTTTCCTGGTAGGCAAGAGCTCAGGTGGTCTTTCTCACTCCGTCACTAACTAGTGGTGGCACTTTAAAACAATCAGCTTAACTTTCTTAGTCCTAGGCTATCAAAGTGAATAAAAAGCTTGGAGAAAAAGAAGTTCTTAGAAGAAGACTTGTAGGAACGATGGTGGAGCCAACTTTTATTCAAATATTTAAATGAATTTGGACGAACCTTTAAGCTCTAAAATTCTATCATATGAAAAGTTCAAAATATTATTATGTCATACGACATTTGGTGCACTGTATGGAACAAAGCAAGCTTTACGTCTTATTAATGTTTAGGAAAACTAAAAGTCTGATGATGTTTTTGTATCCCGTATTTATCAATTCTGAGTTGGGGAGAAGAAATGTTAGATCAATTTTTTTTTTCTTTTTTTCTCTGAAGCAGTTATGGCCAGTGCATTTTTCTCTGAAAAGATTAATGTACATTCAAATAATAGCTTCACATCTTGATTGAACAGATGTGGAGACAATGGAGCAAGATCATTTGCCTCAGGGAGTCTCATAAAAAAAGTACGTCCTTATTCTAGATTGATCTGACTCGCATTGCTATTTCTTCATTTCTTTACTTTACCACCTACTATCCATGTGACTTAGGGTGAGTTATTCCATGTCACTGAGTTATATTTTCTCCTGATCTATACATTTATTGTACAGAACTGTTGAGGGGATGAACTAAGACAATGTATGCAAATTACCTAGTGCATATTCCCTGACACATAGTAGATGCCCAATGTGTTTTAGTCATTTTGGAAATTGATGTGAACAAGAGGGATGCTACATTATTAAACATGCCCAGTGTCTTCCAGCCTCATGACCGTGCGTGCAGGGAAGAAATGGCAGTACAAGATGGAATAGTTTAAAAAGGAAGGTGCTAAAAGGGAGCTAACTTCTTCCATCTGGCAGACAGATGAGAGGGGCAAGGCCAACTTTGCAGTCTGGGAAGTTGTGCTAAGTGAAATGAGGCAGGGAGATGCAGGACTGAGCTCTTGATGGAAGTGGTTCTTACAATGTGGTGTAACTGCATCCCATCTCCACCGGATTGCACAGAATGCCAAGGTCTCACTTCTGTGCTGTGATTGTTTTTTGTTTGGTTGGTTTTTTGGGGTTTTTTTGTTTTGGGTTTTTTTTAAAGCAACAGATGGACTTTTTTTGTTCTTTGAAATAATAATTAAGTGAGATAAAATATTTGAGGCTTTTCTTTTCTTTTTCTTTTTTCGTATTTCTCCTTAGCCAAACTCTCTTTTGTCACAGTCAGCCTCTTGAGAAAGGCTTGCTTTTCCACATCTCAGTGAAGGTGATGTGACACTGGCTATTGCATGAGGTATTAGAAGAGCTGAAAACTGGAAGCTAAGTTTCCGCACTCCTTAGACTTCTAAGAAGACTTAGTAGACTTTTCCATTCACAAAATGGAGAAAATACCTTTCCTGTGTTACAAAGGCTTGGGGAATTACACCTGAGAGAGCACTATGAAAATCTTTAAGCATAAAAACAAATGAAAGTCATCATTATTAAATAGAAGTCAAAGGACATCATGAAATGGCATTCTGAGTCAGAGAGAAATCTCTAAGTTCTATTAAGCTGCTCTCTGTCTGGGCCTGCTATCTGAACATTTTCTTTGCATAATTTAGATAATAGTATCTCTCTTCTTCACAGGGAACTTTGTGTAAGGGGAAAAGTTTTAAAACTTTCAAGGCATTGTTTTAGACATTGAGAGTCATAAAAAAAATTGCTGAAGTTTTGTCCCTTGCCTTTACTGAGCTTACAGTGTAATCAGTGAGATAAGCTATTAATGTAATGAATTACAAGTCAATGTAGGTCATGATGAGGCCATTGGAGAGGCAATGCCCATCTACTGTGAAGTTCAGAGGAGAGTGAGATTACAACTGGCTGGTGGGAACACACAAAATGGATGCAGGTTATTTGAGGGGAAGAGTTGCTTAAATTCATGGGTGTATTAGGGAATAACAGATCACCCTGCCTGGCCTGGGCATAAGGCAAGAGAAACCAAATAAAGCAAAATAGGTGATCAAACACAATGTCTGTCATACTAATATGAAAAAAAAATAATATACACACAGTTATTATGCTCAATTTAGAAAATGTAGAACAAATATGTTTCTTATTTGGGATCTTAGAAATGAGAGGCAGCAGAAGAAATTGGAGCTCCGGGGTCCTAACTGAGTCCTAGCTGTCATTATTTCACAAAAGTAAAATGTTTCTATCAGTGAAAGTAAGACTAAAGCATGATGTTTGATAATAATGTAATATTCAGAATAGTGTACATCTTAATGAAAAGGACTATGATGATTATTTGTTAAAAGAACACAGGACAAATGACAGCATTTCAGAGTCTTAGGTTTCACTAAGCCCTTGCGTTTACAAAGATAAAGGAGTCCATATTTCTTCATTCAAGACCTAAAACAGAAGAGAAAAACAATCAGTGATTTGATGATAAAATTGCTTTAGAATCTAATGTAGAGGGGGATAAAAAAGCTTTATAATTGTCCTGACAGGAATACATTTCATTTAATAGAAATATGCTAGGAAATGCATGTATCTAGAGCAGATGAATGATTACTAGAAAAAAAATACTATGTTACAATTGCATATTGCATATCTCATGGCCGTTCAAAATTTTAGTAGCCTAAAATACTCTTTACAGTGTGCAATTGGATTTCTTTCTGATTATCCTGTTTATGTAAATTTTGTTTTAACTTGCACATGCTGGACATAGTATGGTTGGAAATGTTGGGTCAAAATGAAGAAACGGTTCCCTTCATATCTTTTGGGGAATGATGGGCTCAGGCATTTCCCATGAAGGGTTGATTATTTGAGGAAGGGGCAGCAAAATACATGACCTGAGCAAGTGTGAGCCAATCTGCAATGCCCACACTGAAAAGGAAATCATTATTTCACAAAATATCTTTCTTGAAGAGTGAATCATTTTGCTTGCTTTTATTGCTCTTAGCATTTCTTGAACCTTTACTCAATATCAGACATACTTTGTGTCAAGTCAAGTGCATTTGGCTATTCAAAGAGCCATGTAATCATTTCTTTCTTTGCTTTCCTTCCTTTCTTTCTTTCCTTCCTTCCTTCCTTCCTTCCTTTCTTTCCTTCTTTCTTTTTTCCTTTCCTTTTTTTTGATTAAATGAATCCTTGTCAAAGAATTTCTCTTCAAAAGGTAATAAGAATACATATTTAGTTTTGGAAAGCTCTGATGCTAGTGGTTCTACATGGATTGTATATATTTCCTTTGCATGAACTTTGTGCTGAAAGCTTCACATGACTTATCACTTTTGCATTGTTGAACCTCCTTACCTGGCTTGAATGAAGGCACCCTGCAGAGACTCACCATTAACTGCAGGGTCTTCAGCCATTAGGTTTCTATGAGGAGATACTGTGTTAAATATATGGCTCACTACCAAACAAAGACAATCAATGGCAGCACTAACCAAAACCAACAACAACAACAACAACAACAACAAAACAGTAATGATTTGATTTAGTCTACTAAATGGCCATCTTAGAACCCCCAAATGTTTATTCTACAGTGACGTTTTTGAGAGCATGTGTTTTTGCCTCAATTTTTATTATTTGGCAATATGGACCGGGACATGATTTAGTGGAAATATGCAAAAGATTGAATTTCCATGCCCTTACCCCTTCAAACTGTTTCAACCTATCTCCAATTAAAAAGAAAGAAAGAAAAAAGAAAGACCCCCCAAAAAAGAAAGAAATTCTTAGAGCCTCATCACATTTTTGCTTTCTTACAAATAAAGGTATTTAATACATAATTAGTAGCTAGAAGTTTACTGAATTAAATGCATGAAGAAGTAAATGCAAGAATTCCATTTAGTTCTCTCCCTTACAGTGTCCTCAAGCTCTTTCAAAATTTCCAACTCTTGATAGCACTTACTTTTCTAAGATTTCAAGAGTAAACAATTGAGAAAGATCTTTCTCTAAAACAAAATCCCTCATGCACCCATCCCAGAACGCATTCTCCCTGCCCTTGAGAATCCTGCTGCTGTGTTTTGGTTCTACTCCTGTGGTTTTATGCTTACGCAGTAGTAAAACAGGGGATGCGTTTTTTCGGTACCAATAGAGGAATAACCAAATGACTAGAGTGAATGATCCTTAAAGAATTACTTGAGGGAAGAGTATGTGGATTCGTTCCTCTCAGGGTTCCCCAACCATGGGATGGCATTGTTTGAAAACAGACAAAACAAAACAAGACCAACTTCCTGGGACTGAAATACTTTGTATGTGTTGTTATTTGCAGTGCATGCCAAGACATTCATGAGCACCAGAGCCAAGCTGGCGAGCTAATTAAATATATATATGTATGTGTTTAAAACAGCCTAATAAGGAGCATTGGAAATCTTCAAGATGAGCGAATATCTTATAACTTCTTCCGCAGGTGCGAGGATAGCTACAAGCCATGGACTTTCTGTCCTGCTTCTTGTTTGTGGCTTTGTGAAGGGTGCTTTGCTTTAATCTAAAGTGCTGACTTTTTTCCAATATCACTTTCTCTTCTTAAAGCAAAGAGCAAATCGCCTGTAAAATCTACGGAGCGGACAGCAAAGTTGACCCTAAACTCCAAGCACCACTCTGCACCCACTGTTCTCTAATTATCTACCCAAGGATCGCCTGCTTCCGGAAGCATAAATGAAGAGGCTATCACACGCTTTGTTCATAACATTTTCTTGGGCAAATCACTGGTCTTTTATTTCAAGAAAATTAGTGTGAAGCGATAGGACATTTTCTAATAGCCAGATCTATTTTTTTTCTTTTTTTCCCCTTTTCTTTCGGCTACTTAAAGCATCATCTGACTGCTCAGGGATTGGCCTGAACGTCATCGGTATAGTAAATATTTACTACGGATACCACTGATTTCCGAGTAAAAGACACATTACCTGCAGGAAACAAACAGAAATCAAAAAGCGACAGAACATAAACTATCATCAAACAAAACCCCGGTTTGGGGGCAACAACAAAATCATCAACACCACGAGTCAACGAGGAGAACGTTATTTTAAATAAGACATAATAAAGGAAAGATTTTTTTTTTAATTTTCTCTTTTTTCTTGGATTTTTTTTTTGCCTTTTTCTTGATTATAGTTCTTGTTCTATGGTGGCAAGTGCTGATTACGGCCAATCCCTGTCAATCCTGGGAGGTTTATATAAATACATTTTGAGTGTTCTATATTTCAATGTATTTTAATTCATTTTGCAATTCCTGTATATGCAAACCTGACAAATTCTGTAAATTGCTTATAGTATGTGTGATATAACTTCAAAGTAGATAGACTATGACCCTCATGCAAGCTGATTTTTATCATTAAATATATAAATATATACATATAGAGATCTATATGTTGGGCCACCAACCAACTTTTTTTAGATAAAGCATTTGTTTTTCACTTATAATTCATATATTGTGTGAATTTTGTAATGCCTTGTTTCACTTCCACAGGTTTGACAGCTGCAGATGGTCACTGTTGCCCTCTGCTTCCTTCTGGAAAATGCATATTCAAAATTGTATTGGTCTCTGATAAATGAATTAATTTTGTTGTGTGTATGCTGTGTTGAAGTTTGCTATGTTCCTTTATATATGGTGTTTATTGAGGTTTGAGGGTCTCTTGACTCTGAAGAATGTACACTCTCTGGTTTTGACAGCTATCCCTATATTACTATCATCATTATTATTTTCAAAAAGCAATGTTGCTTCTAGAAAATTTGCCTTGGAGGTGAATGTGGAGAAGGTGAAGTGGTCACCATGATTACCTAAATTCATGGAAGAACACTTCTTGCTGTGGCTAAAGATGCTGCTTCCTTTGACCTTTATGGATTTTGTAGCTTTGTCACTCTGTTATTTGCTGCTAATTATATTTTAATGTCTCCTAATTAAAAATTAAAATTTGGTTGTTGGCTAAATATAATATGCAAAAGATGACTGCAAATCGCCAACTAAAGAAGATAATGTGTTCAAGGTTTCACTGGTTAAGTGAATTATAATTTCAAATATTTCATTCTTATTTTTGGCTTTATGATAATTCAGATTATTTTATTTGGAAACTGTTTTCTACTCTGGCAAAGAATGACAGGCAGAACTATTCATGTTTTCCATGTACACTATGGAATAGATACAGATTGAGATAGAAATGACCTAAGTTTTCCTTACCTAGAGATTCTTCCATTTTCTTTCATAACAAAACCAGATCATCTTTGTAGGACCAGCAGCTCGTAGGCTAAGGTCCTAAACTGAAGCTTGAAGGCAATGAATACCTCTGCTTTTCAAAGGTAAATGCATTGATTTTCTGCTATCCAATTACAAGCAATGTGCATATTTTCATAATATCTTAACATTATCTTTGAGAAATAATTTTCAGGCTACAACTTTTATTGACTTCTTTTTGTCCATTTGATTATTTCAGTCTAATGAGAAAAATAAATAAAGGATTTAATTGTGCTATTTTATTAACCTAGAAATTTATTTTCTTTCAAAATTTAATACTTAAAATGCATAAATTAATGGTAAGATAAATATTTATTAAGTCTATCTGGCCTCTAAAGATCACATACATTCAAGCGTAAATTAGCGTACTGATTCAAATTCAGTCAGGCTGGGAAAATCCACCATGTAATTTACTTTTACCCAAAGTTTCAGGTCATGAGATTGGTCATCTCTAAAGCAAGACAGATGTGTATCTGTATTAATGATGTTTACCATGCTCGCTCGTAATAAAGGATATATGCTGGCTTGGGAAGAATTCTCGCTAGATTCATTGTGTCAATGTCCAAAATAATGAAGTCTTCTTTGTCAGTGGGATACCAAGAGTCTGACTCACTGGCCTCTGTGAGAAAGAACATGGCACACTATATCTCCAAACTTGAAAAGTTAATGTGTAACCTTAAATATTGGACAGAAGCTTTAAAAAATTAACAAATCTGTCTAGTGGTTTTCACCTTGTATCTGTACCTCTGGGACTACTACTTATAGGTAACAATGACTCTAGAAACAAAGATTAAAAAATAAGTTATATGATTTTCTCAACCTTGATTTCTAAGATTATGAAATGTTTTTCAGAAGAGAAAGTCATAAAAAGTTGAAATTGCTTACCTGAATTCAAACAAATTCTTTAGTTCTTTCTTAAAGACTTACAAATTGCTTACAAATGAAAACACTTGAGGATAAAATAACAAAAATCATCTAAAGCAGGAGCTCTTAATCTGAGTTAGTAAACAAGCTTGGTGGAGTCTATGAACCCATTAAAATTATATGAATATTTTTGTATATGTGTATTTTTTAAAGTTTTTATTTAAATTCCAGTTCGTTAACATACAGGATAATATTAGTTTCAGGTATAGAATTTAGTGATTCAACACTTCCATACATCACCCAGTGCTCATCACAAGTGCCCTCCTTAATCCCACCTCCCCTCTGGTCACCATCAGTTTGTTCTCTATAGTTAAGATTTTGTTTCTTGGTTTGCCTCTCTCTCTCTTTTTTTCCTGTTGCTCATTTGTTTTGTTGCTTAAATTCCACATATGAGTAAAATCATATGGTATTTGTCTTTCTGTGACTTAGCTTGATGTTCTCTAATTCTATCCATGTCATTGCAAATGGCAGAATTTCATTCTTTTTTATGACTGAATAATATTCCATTGTGTGTGTGTGTGTTTGTGTGTGTGTGTGTGTGTCAGTGCATGAGGGTTCCTTTTTCTCCACATCCTGGCCAACACCTGTTTATTGTCTTGTTGATTTTGGTCATTCTGACAGGTGTGAGGTGATATATGCATATTTGTTTTATGGAGATGGTCCCTTCCATTCATTATTCTGAAAGCAATTTGATTGTGATTTGCTGGCCCAGGAGAGGAATGCTTAGATGTTTTTGAGCACCTAAAAGGATCTGATTATTATTTTGAATTAATTTACCTTAAAGTTCTTAGAAGGAAAACATGTTTAGGGAAATAGTGTGCATGTTTGCACACGTGTGTGTGTGTATGTGTGTATTTGTATACATATATACATATACACATAAAATAAAACATATTTTTAAGTCCAGAAAAAACGTCCCTTTAAATTTGTCATATACAATATGGAATAACATATATGGTATGATGTTTGTTGAATTCTTAGAGCCAAAGCTAAGAACTTAAAATATAATTTTATGAGATATACACAGATAGCATTCAAATAAGCAGTCTTGGTTTTGATCTTATATAAAATACAAAATATTAAATATAACTTAGCAGTAGTTCTTATAAGGAAAAAATAATTGCAAAAGGTAAATGTATCTGAGATAATACATAAACTGTGATGATTGTGTCTTAGAGTGAAAACTAGGAAGCTACAAAATACATGTGCACATAATTTCAAATAGGAAGCCCAAATAAATTTAATTTTAAAGTTTTTTTTTTAAGAAATTTATTTATTTATTTGAGAGAGAGAATGAGAGATAGAGAGCACGAGAGGGGAGAGGGTCAGAGGGAGAAGTAGACTCCCCACTGAGCAGGGAGCCCGATGTGGGACTCGATCCCGGGACTCCAGGATCATGACCTGAGCCGAAGGCAGTCGCTTAACCAACTGAGCCACCCAGGCGCCCCCAAATAATTTTAATTTTAGAACTGCTCATTAATAAGGGAGCAGTCTATCATTCAGAAAATGTTATAAACTTCATCGTTCCAGTGATGGAATAGATAAAGTCCTTTCCTGTACCTAGGGAAAGACAGACAGGAAACATCCAAAAACAAGGGAATATAAGATAGTGATAAATTCTAAGAAGAAAACCCAGTAGGACAACATAAAGGAGCATGACTGGAAGTGATCAGGGGAGGCTGCTCAGAGGAGGCAACATTTAAGCTTGAAGAACAAGAACCTTGTCAGGGGAGGATCTAGGAGAAACTTCCAGGGAGAGGAAACATCGCATACAGAACTCCCAAAGGGAAGTGCATCTAGGCTGGCTCATGCACTAGAAAGAGGCCAGGGTACAGTGAGGGGAGAGTGGCAGGAGATGAGATCAGGCAAGGGAGAGCCTGAGAGATGAAGCAAGGACAGAGGAACAGAACAGTTTGTGAAAACTCCAAGGTGAACTGTTATTCTGAGATCCAGACACCCACTATCTCTGGACCTGACTTCTTATTGTGTAATAGTTTTGCTGTAAGCAAGATTCCTTTGGGAACAAAATTGAATCTCTCAAATAGTCAAGTAATACTTTTGTATCAGAGCTCAAGGATATCTTAGGCATGGAGGAATTTAACAATATTTTAATGCTAATTTACAATTGATAATTTTGAGGAAGAAAAGAAAAAATTGAGAGATAATCGGGACTGCTTTTAGCATAGTACTGAGGTAGTTATAATTAGAAATGTAATTTGACATAAAAACGTGTATATGAATTGAAAGTGCAGACAGGTTGAAATAAAAGAGACTCCTAGACACTTGGTAAAACGTTGTCATTAAAAAGATAAAGGGAGGGGAAAAATCTCTACATGTACAGAGAAAAAAAAGTGATCAAAAAAAAAAAAAAAGGATCATGGAGTCTTCCACAATATAAACCCCAGAAGACAATGGATTAAAGAGTACCATGGGAAAAATATTGTGACAAAATAATTTTATGCTTAGTAAGTTATATTTTCATTGTTAGGGAAATAAACAAAATCC